CTCTCTCTCTCTTCCACTTGTTTCTCTCTGCCCCCTCCTCTTCCATAATATAATACTCCCTCCCGAACCTCGCCCCCCCCCTCCGATCACATACTTCCAAACTGTTTTCCCTCACTTTCCTGTCTGTCTGTCTGTCTGTCTGTCTGTCTGTCTGTCTGTTTGTCTCCCCTCCTCTCTCTTTGCCCCCTCCACAACCACATATTCCATCCCCAACCACCCCCACCCTCCCTCCACATCAATCCCTATTCCATCACCTCCCTTTATCCCCCTCTGTCGCTCCCCTTCTCCTCCCTCTCTCTCTCTCTACCCCCTCCCCTTCCACATATTATTATTCCGTCTCCAAATACCCCCTACCCCCACCGCCCTACCCCCAACCCCCTATTCCCACACCTCCTTTTATCCACCTCTGTCCCCCGTCTCCTTCCCCTGTGGCTGACAGAGACAGGCAGACAGAACGAAGTAGCTGCACCTGTGGACATCTCCCGCAGACGGTCTCGCGATCCCCTCCGGAGAAGAGCTGCTGTAGCCTATTCCTGCCTGCTCGCAGCCTTCCTTACCTGCTGTCCACGACGAGACTGGAACGAGGGACAAGACGTGAGAAGCCGAGGGCAGTGAAGTAGTTCGCCACCAGCTGACAACTTCGGACTGTAAACATCTCCCTGAGCCGTATCACCAACCACACACATTCACAATGGCTTTCAGAAGAACAAGTTCACAGGTAAGAAGAAAAAAGAAAAGAAACCAAAGCAAGAAGTCAAACAAAAAAACAACAACCCAGCAACAACACAAACAAACAAACAAACAAACAAACAAAGAAACAAACAGACGAACAACGAAGACCACAAATAGCGTTTGTTAGATTTTGAGTGGACTTTTGGTGTCTGTGAGATAGACCAATTTGATGAACGTTTCTTTCGAGTTGACTCTATGAAGCTTTTCAGGAAGAGCAGCTTCCTGCTGTGCCTGTAAGGGAAATACATTTGTGTCACAACGCTGTGGAAACAGGTGCCTGTCAATATTTTGAAGAAAATTAAAGTATTGACTTCATATTAAAGCTTGATCATTTATCGTATCTTTGATGGAAACAAATACCCATTCATTTTGAACAGATGTCGAGAAGATATTTGCGATTGATGGAGGTGGGGTCACCTGATTTTAGAATTAACGAGAAACAGGTCGCCAACGTTTTGTGACTTATTTAGCACTTGAGTTTTGGAAACTGGAAATTTACATTTTTTGTGTGCCTTTAATCAAGATTTTTTTTTCAGTAGAGCTTACACATAGATATGTTTTTAAAAGGACATACACGGTGTTGAGCCAAAAATTTACAAATTAGATAAAATTGCCAAACCGCTCTTAAATGCCGGTTTCTTCGATTTCATTATTTTGACAAGGGTCTGATTTCACCACGATGCGTCTGAACTGGCACCATGGAGAATTTGGGGAATGGAATATTTCAATTAGGTTTCGTATCTGAAAGGCCCATTGTAAAAGTGGTGTAGGTATCGTGATGGACTTCAATGCGAATGTATACGGTTTGAATTTCGGTTGAATTATTCCAGGGATTTTAATGGCTCACCACCCATCTTTCTTCGTTTTATCTAAGAATAAGATGAACTCACGGTCAAAGTCCCATCCAGTTTGTCAGATGACTATACAGTGCCCAAAGAGGTGTAAAACCCGAACCTTACCAGTTGGAGATTGAAGGGTGACATGATCACAACGGCTCTCTTTTCGGTCTTTGAATCTTTGTTTTCTTATTGCTGGTTAACATGGACTTGAGCAATAAATAGCTTCCCCTATTCTCCCTCACTTTCAAGGGTAAGAATGAGCAGATAGATGTGAACGTTTGAAATATCCTCCAACTTCTTCAGGTGTCAGGTTACTCATCTATTTGATGTGTGACATGTGCCGTTTGTTATTGAAATATACGCAATTATTGTACGTTTGCATCACCAATATGGAGCTTATTTTCACACCCTATATTCTATACAAAAAGTACCCCACCTATAGTGATTGACGCCTCTTTTATCTCGCATCCCCTTCCCGTCCAAAGTCTTTAAAAAAGAGAAGATTTAATTTTTAGATGCATTTGCTTATTAAGACGTCATTTTCCTGACTTCATTATTAAATCTTCAATATTATTATAACCATGGCTGCAAGTCTTGAGGGCATTAGACTAACACTACTAATAAACAATGTCTCGACTAGGTTCCTATCCTAATTAGCATATAGTGATGCCATTAGTTGACATTGTTTTTCTCTCTTTAACCAGTTTTAAATTCATGCATTGGGGAAGCCATAATCTAAGATTTTAAAAATCACTTTTTTAGCCAATTTATTTAAAAATAGGCTGTACATCTGCCTTCAGAGCTCTCTTCATCAGTGTCTCTGGAAGCGCGGTTAGGCATGATTACGCACCTCATATTGCAATTATCTTCCCAACTCTCTTCTTTTAATTAAGTATAGAGCATATTAATTATCATTGGTAAGCAGTTCAAATGTACTGAAGCCTGAAAGTAAAAATATCCAGGAGAAAGAGAGAGAGAGAGAGAGAGAGAGAGAGAGAGAGAGAGAGAGAGAGAGAGAACAAAGCTGTTTAATTCTTTTCACAATTGTGTCTGCGTGATGTGTTTTTCCTTGCTCATATGAAAAGTTGGCCAACTATAATAATTAGCGTCTTTCTTCTGAGATGTGGCACCCCATGGGGCACGTGATCTCTTTGAAATGTCTACTCATGATCATAGTCATAAAAGGTGAACTGAAGTATAAGGACCCTCCATCTTAGAGTCTTATTGACATTTACTATATTTTGGATTAAAGACGTCTATAGAACTGTATAATTTAAAAAGAGTATAGCTATACAAGTTACGACATAGGTAAAACGCGGTCTAATTGCTAGACTGAGGGGGGAAAAAAGCCCATAAACCTTCATACCAAAAAAAGAACAACACATTTTTAAAAAAGAAACGGAAATTCATTAAGTCATATTCATTACTGAAAACAGAAATTCACAGACAACCCCAAAAATTGTGAAAAGAAACAAACAGAAAAACTACACCTACTTAACAAACGTGTTGGTGAGTATGCGAGATGAAGACAGGGTAGGGGAAGAAGGGAAACATTCTGACTAAAGTAGGATGTACCTTAAAATAATGTAATTCTTTTCAATTTTTCGTGTGGTGTCTGTCTGTCTGTCTGTCTGTCTATCTGTCTGTCTGTCTGTCTCTGTCTCTCTCTCTCTCTCTCTCTATCTTTGTCTGTCTGTCTCTGTCTCTCTGTGTGTGTGTCTCTCTCTTTCTGTCTGTCCGTGTGTCTGTCTGTCTGTTTGTCTCTCTCTCTCTATCTCTCTTGTGTGTGCACGTGCGCACGCATGCACGTGTGTGTGTGTGTGGGGGGGGGGGGAGTGGGGGTGAGAGAGAGAGAGTTTGTGTAGGTTAAGGGGCAGTGACGGGGTTTACACATCTTCTCAACATCGCTTCCGGGTTAGGTGTCTGTCTGACACAAGTAAAAAATATGACCAGGAACTCTGTATTTTCTTTGCGTCCGACGTCTAAAACGTAGATGGTGGGAGGATTCCAGTGAAGGATCAAATTTCTTTCCTTTTTTCTTTATTTTTGCCCATCTATCTTTGGTTTTTTTTAGCACTTTGTGGCTAGTGATTCTTCTTACTTCTTTCAAAATTGAACGCCTCAAAAGTAACAATTTACGTGAGTTTTTGGTTGCCATCCTGAAAATAAGAAAAATTCAGCGATCCCGCCCTGTTTTCAATTCGAGATCGTAAATGGTTCTTTTAAATACATAGGACTGCAGACTCAGTGTTATTCAACCAATTGTGTGCACTCTAATTACTCTAAAGCAGTAAGAACGACTCAATGATTGCGCTTTACAAGACAGTTCACCTTGACAATCTACAAAACATAACACTACATTGTTGTCATAAAGGCGGTGATACAAAGATTCGTTTCACTTCTAACATAGAGTTTCTTTCTTACTTTTTTAAATTAAAAGAACAACTGTTGCTCTTAGTTCTTGTAGGTCTATACAAAATACCGTCTTACATAAAACTAGCATCATGTGCTCAATGGAATCAGTGTTATCACAGAGCTGTTAATAAGTTGGGTTTTTTCAACTGGCCGAAATAGTGGATGATCCATCTCGTGCACAAGCTTTGAAGCACAGAGTTCAAAGCACTCACGGTGAGCGCACTTCGTTTTAATAATATTAGGAACAAAATTTAGAAGAGCAACTATCAAAAAATAATTTTAAAAATTAAAAAAGGTTTTGAAAATTCTGCAACGCACTTCAGTAGTTTATTTGGAGGTTGTCTTTTGTTTTCCCTCCCTTTTCGTTTTGCATAGTGACTTTCAAAAGAATAGAGTGCGTTCTTTAATGTCGTTTACAAGGGTGGATGTTTATTTTTAAACGTGCTCAGTTTATACATTAAAAAATGACGAGGAAGTAGAAATTATGAAGAGGCTTATTTAAGGAGATTTATTTTTAAAAAATTGGTTTTAGGTGTGGGGGAGTGAGGTGGAGAGAGAAAACAGCTGTGGAGGGGGAAAAGGTGGGGATAGAGGGGGGAGTAGAGTTGAGGCTAATGAATTATACGCACAGGGCGCACTCGTGTAGGGGGTGTTGCCCTTTCACAGGTTAAAGGTCACATACGAACGCCGACACTGCGTTGTCCTCGACATGCGACAGTTTCTCTTGCGTATCGTTTTCGTCTTCTTTCTTCCTTTTTCTTCCGTCTCCGGAAAGAGGTTTATTTGTTATAGCATGATGAATTTGTTCTTGTATCCCCCCCAAAAAACCAACAACAACAACAAACAAAACAAACGCAACAACAACAAACAACAACCCAACTCCATTACACATCAACCATCACAACATACAGACACACACATACATACAGACACACACATACACACACACACACACACACACACACACACACACACACACAC